GGCTTGCCACAGCGCATCATCTCGAATCATGTGCGTATGTGCGCACTTTCAGTCCGTCTGAGCGGGGTGCCACGGCAAATCACCTCGAAGCATGTGCGTATGTGGACATATTCAGTCCGTCTCAGTGGCTTGCGACAGCTCATCTCTTCGAATCATGTGCGGATGTGCGCACATTCAGTCCGCCTCAACGGCTTGCCACAGCGCATCACCGCGAATCATGTGCGGATGCGCGCATATTCAGTTCGTCTCAGTGGCTTGCCATAGCGCATCACCTCGAATCATGTGCGTATGTGGACATATTCAGTCCGCCTCAGTGGCTTGCGACAGCTCATCACCTCGAATCATGTGCGGATGTGCGCATTTTAAGTCCGCCTCTGTGGCTTGCCACAGCTCATCACCTCGAATCATGTGCCTGTGTGCGCACTTTCAACCCGCTCAGAGGCGCACTGCGGAATATCACCTCGAATGATGTGCCCGTAATAGCACCCTTAAATCGGCCTTTAGGGCGCACCACGGCTCATCTCCACGAATCGTTTGGGGGTGTACGCACTTTCAGTCCGCCTCAAAGGCGCGCCACGGCACATCACCTCGAATCATGTTCCGGTAAACGCACCTTCAATCCTCCTCAAAGGCGCGCCACCGCTCATCACCTCGAACCATGTGCCAGTAAACGCACCTTCATTCCGCCTGAAAGGTGCACCACGGAAGATCACTTCGAATCATCTGCCGGTAAGAGCACTTTCAATCGGCCTCAGCGGCCCTCCACGGAACATGGCCTCGAAGCATTTGGGGGTGGCCGCACTTTCTGTCTGCCTCAGAAAAACCTCATTAAAAGCATTTTTTCTTTCTCGACCTTTGCCTCAGTCTTGAAAATTCCGCTGGAGAGAGGAGCTAAATTCTATGCTTCGAAGCTCCACTCTCCATAGGAAGTATTAAAAGAGGATGACATTCGATAATATCACTGACGATTTTCTCCGATCTGTAGGCCATGAATTACGTGTTGTTTTCCACACTCAAAGAATTCTTTGTTCCTGAAGAATGAAATAGCGTATCAGCAGAAGGCGTCGCGCATAGTGTTCTTGCCCAAAAAAGTTGACCTAAGGGATCTTCTGATAGTTTCTTTAACAAAACTTTTCAAGAGTGCATTTTCCAGAGAAATGTTGTTCTGGTTATTGAAAGGCACAGTGGTTGTATAACAGTTTGTAGCAAGTTTTTCCTCTCTGGTCGTTCAGATAAACTAATTTGTCAGAGGCTGCCAGCCATTTAGTCATCACGTATCCAGAGCACAAAATGTGAGAAAGGCAAAGATTGCGATATACTTTCTAAAACGTGTATTTTTGATATCACTGTTGAAATGTACGTATAACTTCTTCACGCGGCTTTCCATGCAGACGTGTTTCAGTATAGCTGCACGTGTGCGAATTACATCGTGCAAGTCAACTCGGTAAAAGCTTCAAATCTCACAACTTGGTTTGCATTAGTTTTTAATAATTAAGCTTTACCCTTATGCTAAAAAAGTAAAGCAAAGCGTATGGTTGCTAGCTGTTTTTAAACATTAAAAAATGATTTCCCCAACCATGAGATGGTCTGCAGTAGCGCTGGCTAAGTATCGAATATGTCTATATGACTTGATGGAGCAAGCCAGTGAACCACATCATGGGTGAAAAAGAGAACTAGGAAACTTTGACGCGAGCTGTGACATGAACATGGATGCTTGCAAACAAATAAAAGTCCGACTTGAGGTTTACCGTTGTAAACTTGTGCACCAATTCCGGTTTTGACATTCTTCTACAGTGTTAGTTGTAAACCACCTGATCCACTTTTGAGATTCACTGAAAATAAGCGCCTTAAAGATAGATGTTCGATATCTACCTTTATACATATATACAGCTGTTTTCATAAACCTCCTCACTGGAATGCAGCTCATGATTCCGTTAGAAAAACAATTCGCGGTAATATTTCTAGGATGCATTGCATTGCTTTCCGCTTAATCGGTAAGCACTCAGAGTTATTGGCTACCAATTTTGAAAAGCATAGTAAAAGAAAGGCAAATGAGGAAGTTGCGAAATTATTCATGGACAATATTTACACGTGAAGGAAAGCAGGTAGTGTAATATTAGTGATCCCGTTCGTTACTCGGTCGGCCCACCTGCCCATGCGCTAATTCGTCTCCCCACCGTGCCCAAGAAATCTCTTGTCGTTCCGGGATAGAAAATTGGTACCACACTTGTTTGGGACGACATAACTCCACCCATATACTGCCCAACGCTCCACCTCCTCATCGCGGATGGGAGTTGTTTCTGGGTGTTTGAGTGCAATGTACGGCGAGTGGATTAATCTCCTCAGCAAAATCTTTCAAGCTGAGAAGGAGTCTGGCGCTCTCATAAGGAAGCCCAGCTAAGTATACACCAATATCAGGTTCCAGCACCCTCCTAGTATCAGCCGCGCGGTGACAAATCTCCCTCTAATCCGCGAAAGCTGAAACTGCCTGCGGTGGTAACGACGTGAGGCTGGCTAGGTTGATCCCGAGACGACAGGGAACTGCTATGTCTAGACCAACAAACTCCGAGGAAACGGAGATTATGCTGAAGTCCGCACAGCGAGTGTGGACGGCACATTAAAGTAACCAAGTAAGTAATTCCATCTAATCCATGCAAGTACGTTCTAGTGCGACTACCTCAGGGTTCCAGAAAGAATCGACTCGATCACTGTTTAACGACATTCGAGACGAAGACGAAAATATTCTTAATTAGCAGCCGGACTATGTCCAAAAACAAAGATTCGTGGACTGTGGTTGTGAGGAAACCAAGAAAGAAATTCTAAGATCCAGACTATGGTGCAGTTGTCATGTAAGAATAGAAAAGCAAATAAAAAAAAGTACACGTGAAAACAAAACGCAAATGAAATATCCATTTTCAAATGAGAAAAATCAATAAACCTAAGATCTAAAAAGAGTTTGAACTGGTGAACTGCACTGCAACTTTGTGCAGGTGCCTAAATAGAGGTTGTTTTCGAATTTACCAAAAGTGAACTGAGCAACAATTTCTTCAACCAACTGAAAAAATAGTAGAGGTGAGATGCTTGAGAGCAAATGATTGCTCTATCTTTAATACAGATATGATGAAAGCAATGCGCCCCAATTGAACGAATACCTGCGTAATACGCGACAATAGGAACACAATCGTTAGCTAATCTTTGTAGACAGAGCAGTAAACTACTTAATTCCATAGACGTCGGTAACATTGTATGACATTCACCTTAAATTTGACACTGTTCTACAAATAAGACTAAATGAGTAGCAGTCAAACAAGCGAGCAATCGACCAACACCGTGGTCACATTCAGCCAGATGGGCCAGAAAGACAGATGACGTCACTCGAAGGATGTGTCCGGAAAACAAAGTTCTCAATATCTCCTTAAAGCGAACACACCTGACAAAGCGGTGCATTCATGTCTCGAAGAGGAATTTTCTGTTGATACAAAAAATAACCACTGCATAAACGAGGCAAAAAAGCCTTTGATTTAAATTAGCGACGCTATGTAGTTGATCGCTGACGTAGTGATTCGAGGCAATTGGAAAATATTTCAACTACTAAGAATTTGATGCTATATAAATGGAATTTCAAAACACACTAACTTTCACTACAAAAAGCAATCTAATCCTAAACTTTTTCATAAAATTGGACCATTTTGAATCATTTTATGATGCCACCGGTAGCCATTTCGTACCTGCACCCAGAAGCCACTTCTTCTACACTTCTGAAGACATTTTCTTGACATATTAACAATTTACAACAATCTCTGCATAATTTGTACTGCCAGGTCGAGCCAAGATTGCACGAGATCTAGCAGTATAACTATGACTAATATGTTAGAACTGGTATATATAAATCTACACAGAGCAAGGTACCCAAAAATAGAACTATCACTGTAAATGTAACAGCGGATCATTTCATGCTCTAACATGTTTACGCAGCTTGTGTGTATGGCGCAGTGGTCGGAGACGCCCTGCAAGACACGAGGAATTGATCCCCGCACCTGTGGCCCACCAAACCTTCCATACTTCCTTCACATTCTCATTGACGTTCGAAATAGCGTCTAGGTCCAGTGAAAGTCCTTGCCTCCGAACTTGCAGAGTGATACATTTGGTAGAAGAAAGTACTGTGACTTAATTCATCTATAGATTCCTTCCGCTTAGGTCATTGCTGTGAAATACGTAATTAATGGCCTGTACTGCAAAGGGTATGAATGCATGCTGCCTCTTTAACAAATTTCAGTGGGATTCTCCAATCTTTATCTCACGGTTATCATATTTACACTAACCTTTTTGCAAACCGTACCGACACAGGCAGCAATGTGATCGATTTCCACATTTTAATATGGCAGAATGATACGATTCAAGTATTTTTCGAGCATGCGTTCACTATGGGAATTAAAGTGTTCGCAGACAACAGGATCCTCCTGAAACGGAAGCTTTAATAATATTTATCATAGTCACCAAAAAATGCGAACACGAAAATAACGTACTCGAAGCTCTTGTGGGTAAGCATCATTGAAATCTGCAAGGCTTCTCGCTTTAACAGCTGCAGCAATGGCCCTTAGCGCTTCTAAGTCAGACCCAGAATATTTCGAAGCGAGTTTACCCGATAGCAGCTTATTAACGTCGTCTGGTTCGTCCATCATTACCTAAAATATGTAAGGAATATAAAAGCTGGAAAACTCAATATTATCTA